TCTATCGCAAAGGCATTAATAACCTTCCCATTAGATGGCAGCAATGTGTAGATAATAATGGCAACTATTTTGATTAAATAAATTTGTTAAAAATTTAAAAAATAAACAATTTAGATTTTCAGTACAAATCGGCAATTTCATACTTTAACCCCTATTATAAAAAGTAATTCAATTACATATGAAAGGTTTAAAGAAAAAGATAGACAGAGGTATGCGAAGAAAAAGCTGAAAGAAAGATTTTGAAATTCCATGAATTACCTCGTGTATGAAAAGTAATGAAAGTATTAATCGTGCAAGTTCGAAAAAATTGATTGCTTTTGTAACTACGGATTGCGTTCTAAAATTTTTTTAAAAAGAGGTACGGAAATACTTTGTGTGATTGAAAAAATATTGACCAGCCAAACTGAAAACTGATTTTAATTAATAGTTATTAGGCGAAATTTGTTTGTGTTGTTCTGGTCATTTTATAAATAAATTTTAGTTTTTAAAGCATGATTTAATAGTTAGTCACATTAGTAAATGTTTATGTACATTATTGACTGTTTTTATTGCCTTTTTCATATTTTATACAAAAATTGTGCCTTTTGTAGAATTATTCTGATTTCGGGGGTAGCTGGATTCGGTGAAATAAATACGTCATTAACTGTTAAGAATCTAGTTGCCCAATTAACAGAGTCTTCTTCTTTTTCCTTTCCACTCAATGTTTTTCCTGAAATTAAGAAAAAACAATTCGACCACCGAAGTCACAGCTTAGAAACTTAGCCCTTCTAGGAGAAATGCCCTTAACTTAATCGATAACAAAATGTGAATACCAATAATCAAGTAATCCCTGACAAAAACAGTGGTTGAGAGCATTTCCCTCAACGTCTCCCTTTTGATCATACTCCAACATACACATAGTGTCAAAGCACAAAGAAATATACACAATTATAATTCATATTTAGCATAGCGAGTACCGTGTCACGTCTTGGAATCTCAGTGCGTTGAATTATCACAGATATGAACCCACCTTAACCGAGCGGCACTGGATCATTTGACTTAACCTACGAGTGTCATACTCAATTTTGACAAACACTATGTTGACTCGGCAGAACTTCGACTACACATTAATTCGACGGAACACTACTTCGACAAAACACTAATCCGACGTCGCGTACGATCCCACTTTAGGTTATGCCATTGCGATTGAAAATAAATTGATATTATTAAATTTATTCATATTTACCTGCAAGTGAGTCATTAAATTCTATAGCACATATCACCGCACGAGTCGCTTTTTCGTTAAAATATACACGTTTCAGGTCAGAGCTCGTATTGTAAGCCTTGATATTTAATAAGCTTTTCAGTATTTCGTTCTTGATCAATGTGGCCAGAAAGTCTTGTACAGTCGCATTTATAGGCAATGTAATATTATCTGGCAGTGTGATATTCCACTTTAGGTCAATACCAGAAACATTGCTGGGTAATATAATTGTGTTGTTTACTATGGTCAAGTTGGGCAAATTTATTTGATTAGACATCGCTCTTTTTATTACATCATGATTCGCGTCAAATAATTTTGACATTGCACCCTTTACCACTTCTTCTAATACTGGACTCCGAGGTGAATACGCAATTGACAATTCACTAAGGTTCATATTATATCTGAAAATCGTGAATAATGAGTTTAAATCTTGTTCCAGTTATTTATTACGGTACATTAAAATGCACCACCATTCAGCCCTTCTTAGATTAAAAAAAATATAGGGCGAAATAATCCATAAGAAGTATAGATATACAGTCAACCGTGACCATGGGACCTGTAAAGCGCCCAAAACGTCGGTTTGTTTGAAAAAACAAATATAGGTACGCAATTTAAATCCGGAAAAATAGTTTCATTTCCTAAGTATAGACATATTTTTGAAATTAAATTAGATAGGTACTAACAATGGTTAGTCACAGTACCTATGTAAAATAGGTAATCACACCAAAACGTACATATACTTGAAAAAGGTACAAGTACCAAAGGAGTTGGTCTGCTTCGTAGGTAAAGGACTTAGAATGTAAGGCTCAATTTACAGAGTAGAAGCGAAAGCGTTTGTAACGAAAGTAAATGTAATGAATTTTAATGTCAATTACGTGACGTACTAACTAGATACGAAACAAAACACCGATCGCGCGTATTCCGGAATTCCCGCAGCGATGTTCGGCGGCATCTCGCGAATAAGCGGCTAGTGGCGCAATGAGGCCTTAAGCGTCTAAGAAACAGGTGTAGAGCTATTGCTTTGCTTAATATTTCATGTAAGCCATAAAATTTTAACGCAAGTAACTCATTTCCTTTTCCTGTTCTTTTTCTTTTTCGCTACTTATTCTTCCTCAGCTTCATAAATAAACGCAATAAAACAATATCGAAATTCACTATTCATTTCACGTAAAAGATCTATAGACAAAGCAATTAAACATTTACTAGCCTCAAGGCGCAGTCTAACAGCAGAATTCTCGCAAATTCGGGCGCATTCGCAACGTAACGAGGCGAAATTGACTCTTCCGTTAATTTTTTCCGCGTCAATGTCAATTGAGCCTAAATTGGAGTGTTAAGTTATTTTTCTTTTTTTTACGATAGCAAGTGACGTGATGAGTGCGCCTGATGGTAAGCGACACGCATGTCCGTAACAGTTGCAGTGCCATTCAGTGCTTTAAATCACGACGATCTGAGAGGCACTGCGCCCGTCACCCTGAGACATTAGTTGACAAGTCCGCGTTTCAGTCTGATTCTCTATTCAAGATGTTCCAACATCTGAGTGAGAAGTCTGATGAAGCTCATCATAGGTACCCTGCGGCGCAGCTAGTTATTCTAAGGAATGAAAGAATGGTTGTGCCCATGTGCCTTAATTATGCTGGGAGAGAGACGCGAAAACTTGCGTTGACGCTAAACCTTTCCAAGCTTGTCAGTAGCGCCACCAGGATTCCAGATGTTATGGTTCATACGACTAATTGCTCTCTCTATTATCTTTTGAAACCTCTCCCCGCCCGATCAGATGGCGGTATGAGACGGGTGTGGCGAAACAGGTCAGGAGATTGGGACGTAATGCGACATTTCTTTGCTTCATATCCCTGACAGGCTTGCTTTAGTTCAAGGAACTCGTCGAGCTATGCTGATGCTGTAGTCGAAGTCTTGCGTTTAGGTATACAGTATTACATACCATACTCTGATTTACCCAATAGACCCGGAGCTCGTCCATGTTTTAGGGCTGATTGTAGTTGTACTGAAGTACATCAACAGCGTATGTTGGACTACGCAAAGCTTCGAATGCTCTGTAGCTGAAGAATTTAATAAGACAGCCAAGACGTAAACGAGTGTTATTTAGAGCCACGTTCGGCCATGTGCGCCGTATAGGGGCTATGTTTGCCTCTTTTCCAGCAGGTAGCGAGTCCTATTGATCCCTGGCGGAAGCTGTCACAAACTTTAGTAGTCCTTCTTTACCATCTCTGCTGAGACCGGACGGCTCGCTGGCCCATACTGCGGAAGAGAAGGGTAATCTTCTTGCCTCACTCTTTGCTGAGAATACATGTCTGCGTCATGCTAAAAAGGAGTACCAACTCAGAAATCTGCGGAGTCTAAACGTGAACAAAGCTAGCGACCCAAATGCAATTCCAGCAATAGTACCTGAGTTGTCTCCTGTTCGCAGGTCGTAGAAGCGTGACAAACGTGCAACCTGTGCCAAAAAAGGGAACAATGCTGACCTGTCAACTATAGACCCGTCTCAAGCACTTTCATATTCAGCAAGACTATGAAACGTGTTTTTAATAACCATCTCCGTTTTTAACAACAAATTCCTCAGTGATCGCCAGTATGGATTCCGACGAGGGTTATCTTCTTGTGTATGCGTTTCACATATGGTGCGAGGCTATAGAAGAGGAAGGCGAAGGACTTCCAACGTCTTTGAACATTTCTTTCTAAAACCTTTGACAATATTTGGCATGCAAACCTTAAGCAAGCTTCACTCTTATGGGCTTCCCAATGACCTTTGCAATTGGATCTCGGATTTTTTGAGTGAGCGTTTGATTCATTCGATTAGATCTTACTACACTACATTGGACAATAGAGTTTCGGAGTGCGTCAGGGTTACGTACTATCCGCAACTCTCTTCCTGGCGCACATCAACGATATGTTAATTAGAGGTACCGTCAGGTACACTGATTATAGCACAGTTGTAGATAGGTACTTAATCAATGCAAGGGTCAGTGGAAAAGAAATCCAGTTTTGTCGAGAGTCTATGATAAGTCGTTTGGATTTGACACTTCGGCTGTCTCTGATTAGGGTGGTACCAAACTTATAAAATGGAACGCTCTAAAACGCAGAAGTGTCTATTCTCCACAAAACGGAGTCCTTTTGACCTGACTCTGACTATTTGTGATATATCCACGCTGATAGCCGACCATCGCCAGCTACTTGAAATGAACCTGTTGTCCAGTCTGAACTTCGGCAGATGCATAGAATTCATGGCCAAAAATGCAACCAGGAAGCTTGACATCCTTTCCAAGGTGAGGTGTAACGTGTTACTCCACACCGGGACAGTTGCTTCAAAAAAGTTGTACCAAGCACACGACCGCTCGTGTATAGAGTACTATTGCCACCTGTGGGATAGTTCTGCCGAATACCAACTAGCCGCCTTGGATTCAGTTGAAAACCCTGCCAAGAGCATAGGTGACTCGGATGTGTTAATAATTTTTTACTATACTGCTCGCGCACCTCCTTCGCATACCTCGCTCACCCCTCGCTATCCCAAAAGTTACCCGTCTCCGTCTCGAGGACGCTGTCGCTGTCCTGTAGTTAGGGTATCCAAGTTCCTAGCATTTAATTAACATTTATTAATTATTATCAAATAGGATAACAAAAAATTCTTACTGTGGTGCACCTAACTTATTCTTTCGATAAAAAAACATAATGACACATTCAACTACGCGATTTGTCGTACATTAATTATGTAACATAATTGGTATATTTTATTCTTATTATTGATGACATTAAATTGACAACGATAACTAATTTTGTTTATTAAAAATGATTTGTTATAGTTCAACTGCTTTTGTTTAATTTACCATTTTTTTTCGCTATAGTGAGGTGAAAAGTTATGTGTTTGGCTAGGCAGCAAAGTTGTTTTGCGTCTCGTGTCTTGAAACCCACGGTAGGCTCAGGAATCTTAGGTTCCTTCGCTTGCTCAGATTTCAGTACAAGCACTCGCGTCAAACAACAACTTTGCAGCCTTGCATAACAAATAACTATTGTTACAACCTGGCAATCATTTATCTAATTTAGATCACAATTGTTTCATATATTTAAAATATTTTCTAAAATAATATAATCTATGAACATTTTTGAAATTACTTTCTTTTATTATTTTTTTCTTAAAACGGATGACTTTTTTTATGAAAGCCAGTGACGGGAAGAATAATTCATGCACCTGGAGGTAAGCGACACGCCTGTCCATGGCACTTACTGTGCCACTCCGAACTTTAAATCGCAAAGATTCAGTAATTTTTAAAATATTTAATATCAATAATTATTTAGATTTTTGTGGTTATAACGTCCAGGAAACAAGTCTACAGGCAGGGAATTGCCACTCCATAGCCATTGAAATCTTTGGAATATCCACAACATAGAGGTGGAACCCAAGTCTACGCCTAGTCTCCCGGTGATGGAAAGGGGAAAGCGGAATTAAATCGTGTAATTCCATCGCACACTCTCCATAATATATCCTGTAAAATACCGATAAGCTGGCAACTTTACGGCGGTGTTCAAGGCTCTGCAGCTTCGCCTCCACTAATTCCGAGCCACCTATAAGCTTCCTGGCACGGTTGTCAATTGAATCAAAGATGGCCAGTTGGTATGTAACAGAGCCATCCTAAAGGTGACAACAGTACTCCATGCACGACCGGATTTGTGCTTAGTACAACTGAAGTAACTGTCCCTATCCATCGACCTGAGATGTCCCTATCTACCGACCCGAGAGATAGGGTTTTCCGGAGACACTACGGGCTCGACGGCAAGACCAGGGTACAGCGGGCGTCCGGGCCAAGCCCTCCGTCAGTGATTCGCCTTTACGTCTCTGGCGGACCCAGACTTGGGTAAGGACTCGCTGGGGCTTGTGGTTAGCTGCAGAGACGGACATGTTTATCTGCCCCGGTTTTGCATGTGTCCGGGGCGTCTGTCTCGTGAGCGGCTAGCGCGTCTTATTAGCGGTCTAGTTGCGGGCCTGTATGCGAGGAGACGCGCGGGACACGTAAGTTGCCCTTTAAGTTGGAAGCTATGCTCGGACATTGTCGAAGGACACTGCGACTGACATCTCCGGCACTAGCCCGGAGAGCTAGTAGAGGACTAACTAGATATCCTCCGGTCGCTCCAGCCGCTTAGGTTATTGGGAACTGGGGAGACGTCGTTTTTCGGCGTCGGGAAGTAAGTCTCTCCGTCACCAATGAGGAGATTTGGTAGTGGACTCAGAGTCGACGGTTTAGCGGTAGCAACTGCTAGTTGTGCAATGCGCAACGGGAAGTGAGCATGCCTACAGCTCCGGTACCTATCTGAAAAATAGGGAGGGTACTGTACGTGCACCCGGGGCGGCTCACCCGAGGCACTAGCCTCTCGAAGAACCGTATGAAGTCAAGTGACAGAGGTCTGTGAGAACCCTGTACCCTGGCTGATCTGTGGTCAGAACGTGAACTTGTAAGATTCCTGTGCGCCCACAGGTTATAGTGTTATTCTCGTATGTCGTATGCCCTAAGGGTAGGTAGGGAGGGTCACTATAATCAAAACTAACGTAGAAAGATATGGTGCTTGTCCCGGTGTGAAGTAACGCCTTACCCTGGAAAGGATCCCAAGCTTCCTTGCTGCACGTTTGGCCATGGATTCAATGTATCTGCCGAAATACAAATTGGGTGACAGATCCATTCCAAGTAGTAGTAAGAGACAGTCGGCTATCGGTATGGATAGGTATATCACGAAAAGTCGGAGTCAGCCCAAAGGGAATCCGTTTTGTGGAGAATAGACACGCCTGCGTTTTGGTAACGTTAAATTTGACATCGCCCCAATCGGAGACTGCTTTGAGTGTCAAATCCAAACGTCTAACCATGGACTCTCGACATGACTGGATTTCCTCTCCACTGACCCGTGCATTGGTCAAGTACCTATTTACAACTCTGTTATCATCAGCATACGCAAAGGTACCTGGAATTACCATATCATTGATATGTAGCAGAAAGAGAGTTGCAGACAGTACGGAACCCTGAGGAGTCTATCGCCATATGTTCGGAAGAGTAGCCTTCTAAGACCACTCGAATCGAACGTTCACTCAAGAAATCCGAGATCCAATTGCAAAGGTCAGTGGGAAGCCCATAAGAAGGAAGTTTACTTAAAAGGTATGCCAGACCTTGTCAAAGGCTTTAGAAATACCCAAAGACACTGCAAGTGTTTCACCTTGCTTTTCTATAGCCTCGTTCTATATGTGACAGACATACACAAGAAGATCCCCAATTGATCGCCCTCGTCGGAATCCGTACTGGCGATCACTGAGGAGGTCGTTGTCTTCAAGGTACGACAAGAGACGGTTGTTGAGTACACGTTCCATAGTCTTGCAGAGTATGGAAGTGACTGAGATAGGTCTATAGTTGACAGAGTCAGCTCTGCTTCCCTTTTTCGGCATAGGTTGCACGTTTGCAAGCTTCCACAACCTGCGAACTACACCAGTCTCAAGTGAGAGGCGGTACAGGCGTAGGCGTATGGGAACAGGAGACAACTCAGGCTAGTTTTATTCACTTGTAGATACCGCAGAGTTCTGAGTACCTCTTTTTGGCGTATGCGAATTAGCGCCATAGTGCAGCCAGCCTGAAGTAATAGGTGATTAGATCCAGACGCGAACTCTTTACAAAGAGTGAGGAAGATTTGCCTTGTCATCTGCAGTGCAGGCCAGCGTGCCGTCCGGCCTCAGCAGAGCTGACATAGATAGGCGACAAAAGTTAGTTAGTGACTTTATATTTAAAGATGTTTTGTTTAAAAAAATAATTTGTCAATTTCTGGCGTCGCCATTTTCACTAAGTATACACAATATGGAAGCGTACGCGTGCGTACAATCGGAGCACCTGATCGAACTGAATTTGATTACGTGGAATACGATATAAAACGATAATAAAATATGAAAATACGTTATTTATTTTTTTCCTAAAGTATTTGTATAACGGTTTTTGTAAAAATAAACATCGATATACAAATTCGTATTAGGGTCACGCTCGCGCCGCCGAAACGCCGCCTCCGCCGACACTTTTTTTACGGCGCGCCGCCGCCGCCGGTTGGTCTATTATCGGCGCTCATGTCTAAGTTAGGTACGTATCATTAATTTTTCACCAAAAGTATACGTAAGCGTTAAGATGCGTGGAAAGACCTTTATGTTTGATTTTTTTTTGTCAATTGATTTCTACAAACAATGATACTTACAAAATAGGTAAGGAATAATTTAAGGTGTCAGCCCTATATCTAGGATATTTGGTGACACCCATAATGATGGGTTCGACTTGCCAACGAATGATCAGTATTAATGCCATAGTGAACATGGGAATCAGCAGTTCTGCGATGGTCTGCCCTCGACGTCGCACCTGCTGCAAGCTGTTCTTCCACATAAGCAACTTAAACATCTCCCAGGCCCCAGGTTGCTTTAGTGTTAATGGAGTCAGTTTGCGGCACGGCTGTTCCGGTGTGCATCCTGGATGCTCATATGTAGCACACTAAAAAGATGGAATAACGTAAATTATTATCATAATATAATAAGACCAAGTATCCTACATACATTTTGTTGCCTACATGTTACCTCTCATGTTCAATAGATATCGAAGAACGACAATTTTGAATTTGAGGCACTCTTGTTTAAACAATCACTAATACTACCCATAAACACGTCTACTTGATGTCCTATTTTAATTGTCGAAGGAAAGTTTGAATTCTATAACGAATGGCGCGTGTGGCGACACACGCTATGCAAGTTGCAACGCAAGTGCACTGCGAGATTATGCGATTTTTTTTTTTATAATATCAAGTGGCGGGGACGGACAACTCGTGCGCCTGCTGGTAAGCTACACGTCTGTCCATGACAGTCGCAGTGCCATTCACAACTTTAAAACGCAAAAATCGTATAGGCACTGCCACTGCGCCTGTCTCATCCTGAGACAAAAGTTGACAAGTCCCTTGTGCCTGTAATTTCATCAGCACTCTTACCCTTAAAACCGGAACACAGTAATGCTGACATACTGCTTAGTGGCAGAAATAGGTAACGTGGCAGTATTTGCCCGGACGAACTCTTTGACAATGAGCTCTACTACCACTGTGTGCGTAATGGAAAGTTTACTAAAAGTGTACTTAATGCACCTAGGTGAACTAATTCAGGTGAATTAAGTTAACGCACCCTTAATCGAACACGACGGGCATGCACACACATATAGGAGCCGCGCTGTTCCCTTGTTTGGAGTTACCCTATTTGGTCTTATTCTATTCTATTATCGGTAGTATTATACTCTAATGGAAATACTGCTCAATTCAATAAGGCGTTCATTAGCACAAATCGTATACTTAATAATGCCAAAAATGAAAATGACAAATTTTTAGGAACGAGATATAAAAATTCTACGAACGAAATCATTTCGTAACTTTGTATATATCTAATTATGAGAGTTATAAAATTTCACAAGCCTACATAATTTGTTTAATGTCGATCGTATTATTTTTATAACTTTCAAGTGATAAAATTAGTTTCGACATGTGATCGAATGTGGCTTTAATACCTAAGGCACGAAATAAATGACTTCGGTCGTATGCCTGAGTGAACGAGATTCGTACTTGAGTGAAAAGCGTTATTGCTTTCGAAAGTCATTAATTTACTACAAGCTGTTAATTTGATGGCACACGCCTTCAAATTAGACGCAGGTGGAAGGCAGGAATAAAGGTATAAATGGGACAGGTAAGTACCATTTATACAATAATAATAATAACGCACACACTCACAGCCCAGCACTAGGAAAACCCTGTGTCGCAGATGCCATGGACACATACATAGACAACCAGAAATTACACTCAAACTCACGAGGGAAACAAATGTAGGCCATACAAATATTTCTACCGGCCCGGGAATCGAACCCGGGACCTCTGCGTGGCAGTCCAGGGTGGTAACCATTCAGCCACGGAGGCAGTTGTAGGTAATTATTTATTATCCAATGGTATAACTGGGATAAACTAGTGCCACCTATACCATTACAGGTATAATTTAATGGTATAACTTGGGAAGGTACAATATCTGCAAAAGTGGCACACGCGTGGCGCGATTGTGGCGCGGCCGTGGCCCTGCATCTGCGCTTCTAAATATTGTATGAAAATTATGACGTCCCACTCGCAGCACTTTGCTTGTAGCATCTAATTTGAAGACGTCCTCGTAGGTCGGCGAAACACTAGAATAGTATAGAAGTAGAGTCGCTTCAAAGGAATATAAGGAGTAGACATCTTTATCCAGTCTGTAAGTACTGTACGCCCAGTTAATTAAATTAATGAAATAATAGGTAGTACTTACGCATTCACTCATACTGTTATTATATTACGTTTGCATATTATGTTATATAATGAAAAAACAATTTCCAATTTTCTTGCAAGACGTGTGAGAAAATATTTTGATTTCAAAACAGGTCAAACCGCCGAGGCTGTCGTATTAAATAGATTTAAAAAAGCTAAGTGTTTCTATTGATAAATAATAATGAGGATTTCAAATGTGTAACTTGATTAATAAGAAATATTAATTTAGCGAGTGGTGAACAACAACAATGAAAGAAGATGGCTTATTTTTGTTTGCCCCATTGTCCTATTTTTTATGTACTACTTGGTGTACATATACTTCATATAGTTTTGACAATTTTACTCTTGTAATAAAGGTTGTGCAATTTTCCGTCTGGTCTACATATGATTAGGTCCAACGCGAATTTAAAATAATAAGTTACTGTCAAAAATAGTCAAAATATCGTAGACAGACAAAATATATATTTTAGGTTTTTACCCATTTATTTGGGTAGGTAAAGATTCCACCATACAGCCTTGTCATGTACATTGAAAATGCCAGGTAATTTCGTCTAAAACGTAGAGGGAGTATTGCTTAGACTATGGAATCCTCTAAGGAGTATTGGGTAGAGGGGCTCTATTCTTTTTTTTTCCATCCTTTAGGGGCTCTATAAATAATAAAAACCGTATAAGCGAGATAGATTTATGGACAGACATATCAGAGTAAACGAGAAAACAATATTATTTTTGTCCCTTTCTACGTATGCGGTTTTGGTTGTATGACTCAACGCTCATTGAATCCAGCAAATCCTTCCGAGTGTTTGATGTGCATCGATATTATGTGTTTGTTCTTTTAAGAAGTGTTTTACAAAGTTACTAACCGTTCCTTTGTAGTAATTGACAATTATTGCAGCTCACAATAATGGTGCATTGTTATATTTTAGACTGTAAAAGCCGTACGGATCGAAAAATTCCCAACATAACCTTTCACGCGTAAGCTTTAATTTTTCATTACAATCAATGAATTTTCTTGTATGAATTACTAGTGAAATACTCTTACAAGGCTGGAATATTACGATTTCGTGTATTTTAGATGATATTTGAAGTGTTTTTCTTGATTGAAAGATTTTTGTTTGCATCGTATAAACCTTCTAAAATAAGGAGAATATCTTACTTTTGTCAAATATGTCCATCTAGCTTCTACCAGCAGTGGTTATGATACGCGAGAAAGAGAGATCAAATAAATAACGTAGAAATTACATTAGACAGGCTTAAGCTGATTTTAGGGATATCGTGTTTTTGCCACTATCTTTTCCCCAATTTGTGGGTCATTTTAAATGTTGTATTTTTTTAACTTTTAAAATTTTTTCAGTTCGAAATATGTATACTAAGTTAATACTGTTCAAGGGTCAATAAAAAAGTAATGATTTGTCATAATTGTTTTATTTGGTTACTAAAACTCAACCAAGTTAAATATGGTCTGGCGGATTCTCCCTCCTCAGACTCGGCGGATTTCATCATTATCATGAACCCATTTATACGTCCCACTGCTGGGCACGGATCTCCTCTCAGGCGAGTGCTTGGGCGACAGTCCACCACACTGGCCCAATGAGGGTTGGGGACTGCACACGTTTTCCGAGGACTTTGAACCTTCTTCAACTTTTCATCACGATGTTTTCCTTCACCGAAAAGATCATAATAAATTTCAAATTAAATTTCGCATAAATTCCGAGAAACTCAGTGGTGCGAGTCTGGATTCGAACCCACAACCCTTTGCTTGAAAGGCAGTAGGTCATACCATTAGGCTACCACGGCTTCATTTTCATTTCAATTTCTTTAACAGGGTAGAATTTTAAAAGTAGACAACCCAGAATTTATAGGTACTCCGTTGGTATCCCTTTTCACTATACACGAGAAGCTTCTCTATTCTTTTTTCTTTATTCTCCCTCTACGGTCTAAAAATATTACAGATGCTGCAGTGCAACTTTATGGTTTACTCTTTAATCTTAGCCAAAAGGCCGAAAGGCAGTATATGAGCAGTATAGCTTATACTTATAGCGTAGTTTGTTTTCTATATGTCAATAGGTGTACGACGATATGCATTGTTTTCTCCAACTTCTATGATATGTGTTGTGTAATTCCTGTTACGATAAATATACAATATTATAATTATCATCTCTCGTCTTCTTCGCTATTTCTAACATGGTAGCAGAGCTTTTGAACAAGAAGAAGTGAAAAACAAGTAAGTAAAAATGAGTATTAATATCGTAATACCAATTTTTGACGGAACGGATTATGCCAATTGGAAAATTTGACTATTGAAATTTACTTCAATTTAAGAAATGTAAGGAAGTAGTTATTAGAATAAAAACGGAAAAAGTTGACGCTACTCAGTGAGATGAAATGGATATTCAAGCTACAAATTATATATACAGCGCGATTACCAATCAACAGTTGGAATATATCAGCGAGCTAGAGTCAGCACACAAAATTATTTAAAAATTTGACTAAATGTATTTAAAGCAATCTACTGCGTTACAAATTGTATGCAGAAATAATTTAGAAAATATAAAGCTAGCAAAATATTGGGATATTATTATTTTCTTTGATGAATTCAAACAATGTGTCAACAATTTAAAAAAGGCCGGCGCTATGATATCGGAAAGTGAATAATTAAACTACATGTTAAAAGCGTTGTCCGGAAATTACAGTTACATTGGCGATTTAATAGATGTTTTGCCAGAAAAAGATAGAACCGTAAAATATTTAAAAAATAAAATAAGAATGAAGATAAAACGAAATGTAGACGTAGAAATGCCGAGTACTTCGAACTCATTCAAAGTGATATCGCTCTCCGAACTCCGAAGCGAACATGTTTTACCTGCGGAAAAGCTGGGCATATACAAAGAGACTGTTGAAATGGAAACCACGGTCGTGGACGCGGACATTATGCGCGAAGTCGTGGTCATGAACGTGAACATTACAATTTTGCACCAAACAGAGGCACGGGCAATTACTATAACATGGAATATTATAAAAGGAGCTTTCACACATGTATTGTGAACAATTTGACGCTTAGTGAAGATGCTCCAATTAAGGCAGGACAAATAAATTGGCTTTTAGACAGTGGTTGTACAAAACATATAATAAATACTGACGAATATTTCGGTAAATGTCTAATATTAAAAGAACTAATAAACGTGAGGGTTGGAGATGGAAGAGTATTGAAAGCGACAAAGGTTGGAAGCATTACAATTTACTTTCCTGTTTATAGGTATAAAAACAAAGTGATAATAGACAAAAGTATTTTATGTAAAAGAGATGAAAGCTAACTTATTAAGTTCTAACTTATTAAGTCTACTCGAAAACAACGGATATTCACAAAATAGTTTCGACGGGATATTTATCGATAATATATAACATTAACAGAGAATTGATAGCGATTGCGAAGAAAGATGATAGACTTTACAAAGTAACCAGTTTTATCTGTAAGGAAATAAGCGTAAATGCAGCAAACTGTAGTATGACGTTGAAAGAAAAGTTTCACCGAACATATGGTCATATAAACGTCCATTATCTTGACATAATGTGTAAAAACTAAATATTGGAAGGATTACCTAAACAAATAGAAACGGATTATATGAAGTGTGCTATTTGCGTCGAAAATACGATGCACAATTTGCCATTTAACAACAACAGGACGAAAGCAGAAGATATATTACATATTGTACACACGGATGTTAACGGACCACATAGAACTACAGCGAGAGTATATTGTATTTAATCCAAGGAACAAATTTATGAATGCTTCATAGAATACGTCAATCAAATGCACTATTGTACATTTATATTACAGGAAAAGTGATCAAAGAAATAAGATGTGACAACGGAAAGGAGTACATGAATAGGAAAATACACACATCAACACTGTCTAGGGATATTTTAGTTTTTCATAGATTGCAAAGAAACTACAAAAAAGTTCTTGAAACGTTCTTATATCAAAATGCGCAGTATTTCATAATCTGACAGAAAATTTAATGTAAAATCTTTTATATTTATTTTTAATGACTTTTATGGTAAAAATATAAAAAGTTAACTTTGTACTAAAATAAGAACTTCTGTTTTGGTTATTATAGAGAAAAACAAAATTAAATGAAACAATTAATGTGTTACAAAATACAATTTAATAATCTGTAAAAGCATATCGGATGTTTCTAACGCACCTTCAATGACTGTGCATACTCAAAATGAAGTTATCAATATCTCCTTGTGGGATAAGGTCCCAGGTTCGACGAAGATACATAAAAAGTAGAGTAAGAGTAGAGTAAGATTTTTCTGTCACCAGAAGAAGATTTCGTAAAGCCCTTCGTTGAAGCACGTCTCACGCGTGCTCAATCGGACTTAAATCCGGGGACTATCTCAACATTATGTTGCTGCAGCCATTGACTTACTATTCGAGCTGTGTGAGGGCGAGCATTATCATGCATGAGCATTAAGTCCTGATCCATTTGCAACTGATGTGGTTGGACTACAAGTTCCAGCACCTCATTACGGTATTTTGCGGCAGTTAAATTGCCTTGCACGCAAATGAGGTCAGTTCTCCCTCCTAGGCGTATTCCTGCCCATACCATAATTGTTCCACCTTAATATGGACGGACTTCCTGGGGATTTTGCAGGCGATTCGTACGTCCAGGTGTTCGCCAAACGCGTATTCTTCGTGTATCTGGTTGGAAGCCGAACCGGGATTCATTCGAGAATAACACCCTAGACCAGTGTCGATTGTTCCAAGCCAAATGTTCATTTGCCCACTGTAATCTTCGACCGCGATTGCCTCGTCGTAGTGCTGGAACTCGAAGTGGTCTACAAGCATGTAGGTTGACTTCGTGCAGTCTCCTCCTCACAGTTTGGTCGCTCACTAGGACCTGGTGTTCCGATTGAAGCTTTAAAACCAATTGCCTAGCCGTACGTTAGGTTGTCTCTTTGCTGTAACTTGTAGAAATCGGTCTTGCCTTGCGGTAGTCACCCGACTATTCCCTATGTGCCGCTCAACCACATCGCCAGTGTCTCGGTAGCGAGACCATAATCTTGATATGACGCTTTGACTGGTGCCAATGGCATCAGCAACGTTGCACTGGATCGCGCCGGCTTCTAGC